TTTTACAATTATATAATATTATCAGAATTATTTTTTAGGGTAGACAGAACCACTAAATGTTTAATTTTTTCTTTTAAATATTTGACAAAATCACTGCATGTTTCTTTTTTTTAAAATATAATATGATCTTTGCTTAGAAATTAAAATTATCGTTTATGTGTGAATTTCTTGGATAATAATTTAAATCAGCCTAAATTATTGTCAAAAATAAAAATTTCACTTTTAAATTAATTGATGTCAATCATGGCTTATGTCTACTTTTATCTAATCTTAATCTAAAAATTATAAGAATAGTCCCAATTAATGATTGAAACACTGTGTCACTTTATCTATATATATATATATATATATATATATATATATTTATATCCATGGTATAAAACCCCTCATAATGGGGTTTGAATCCCCTCTGACACAATTGACTTTAAAGAGGCAGTAATCAAATTGTTATGCACATTATGGGTGGGTGGAGGCTCGTATAATAGTTTGTTATTCCTTTAAAATAATATATATATATATATATATAGGAGCAATTATATTTTTTTATGATTAAATATTATCATACTACATATTTTAAAATCTAAACATTTGCATATATACCACCCAATTCTATGTATTTACTTATCTAACACCTAAATTTTACATTTTATGCCACCCAAATCTTTTTTATCACATAAACAAAATATCAACATTTTTTACATTTAAAAAAAATGAAAAACACATTTTCATAAGGTGACAAAAAATTGAAAGTTTTGGTGTTAGATGTGTAATTATATAAGAATTGAGGGGTATGCAGGTAAATCTTCCATGAAAGTATCATGTTTTGGCCTGTATAATCCCTACATTAAAGCAAAGCATACTAAATTAGGGTGAAAATATAGAAAATGATCATATCATCACATGTATACATTCATCGTCATTAATGATTTGTCATCTTTACTTCTTAGGAAAAATTATTTCATACGGATTGCGTGCGGTTTACGGTCCAGATGTATTTCGGTGGGCCCCACCTAAATTTTTTTTTAAAATGGAAATAATCCTGACCGTAGATCACCGTGATCTACGTCATGATCGGACACTGCATGCAGAGATGCATGCGGTATCCGTACGCAATAATTTCTCACTTCTTAGACATAGGATTCATAAACAGAACAAAATTTCATCTCTCTAACATTGCATATAATACCCTTAAGGGTATTTATGCAAATACTCTCTTTAACTTGCAATCACCACTTATAATTAAATAAATTATCATAAAGTTTCACATAATTAGTAGTAAAATTATAATATTCTTTGTAAATAGTTAATTAACAAATTATTTTAAAATAATGATTTCTTTTTCATTTATTTGAATGAAAATGTAGAAAAAGAAAACTTCTATTTTCATTTGATACATTCTTCAGGTGTATTTACATACATACAACTAGGGGTGTAAATGAGACGAACACGAGCTGAGCCCAGCTCGTGTTCGGCTCGTTTATATTTCGAGCTCAAAAAGTGTGGGAGGCCCAGCTTGTGTTCGACTTGTTTATATTTCGTGTTCAAAAAGTGTGTTCGTGTTCGGCTCGTTTGCTTAGTGAGCCAAACACGAGCCGTTCACGAACAAAGAGTAGTTTTGACAACCCTAATCGTGTAGTCATAAGATGTTAATGATTTGGGCAAGATTTAAAACATCATTTAAATCTAATTTAATAATTTTTATTCTATTTTCTTAATTAATATTTTTAATTGATTATAAATCTTTATAGCCTTGTAGTTAATTAAACTTTTTAAAAAATTTAGCTCATCAAACACACACACAAACACACAGATATATATATAGCGAACGAGCCGAACATGAGTTGTTTGCGAACAACGAGCCGTTTTGACAGCTCTATATGGAATATTGTAAATAGAATTTAATTATTGATTAAGTTGCTTATGGTGCACTCTTTTTGGTTCCCAATCCTTTTTCTCTCTGCAGACAATTGGCATTAAGTCTCCATCACCCAAATTATTCCAAATAAGAAACTTCAACTTTAATAAATAAAAAAAAAATATATATATTTTTTTATTTTTATTTTTTGCATTAATTCTCTTTTCTTTTTAAGTATTTACGTAAATACCTCATAATTCTTATGTTTTTATATGTCTAACAGCTAAACTTTCATATATTACCTTTATAACACATAGTGTTTATGATGGGGAAATTCTTTTTACTTTGCCCCCAAATTTTTCTTTGGTACTTCTCACTTTTGTGACAATTTGTCAATTTAATGGGTTAGATGGAACTTTAGCTCTTTATGATAAAGAAAGTGCATGGTCTACACAGGAGTTGGTGGAGACTCTTCTCCTCAACTAAGAGCCCCATGTTTAAATCACATTTTAACAATTAATTCATAACTTAATTAAGATTAAACTAAAAAAATCAGTTAATTTGTATTAATGCAACGTATTTGTTCTTTTTGTCTTGAATAATATAGGAATATTAAATACAGGAGCAACATTTTGTGTAATCAGTTGGGTTGTTTCTGAGAGAGGTCCAACATATCCCCCAATGTTTAATTCTTTAGCTGTTGTTTTTACCACCATCTTGGAATTCTTCTTATTCGACCAAGAAATCACATTTGGGAGGTAATTATCAAATTAGATTTTTGGTAGATTTATAATATATTTATATAGCTAAAGATTTAAGTTATTAAGCTAATTAACATTATTATTTCTCATATTAGAAGTGTTTATCTATCTCAATATAAATAAAATTTTTAGTTCATTTACTATTGGTTTGCTCAAATATGGGACATTTACACATGTACCCCTCAATTCTCATTTTGCTACATGTCTAACATCTAAAGTTTCATATTTACATGCATAACAATCCAAACTTTAGCGTCCATCTCATCAAACTTTAGGTGTTTAGATATGTAAATACATAAGAATCGAGTGGAATGTATGTAGAGTTTCAAATATATATTACTAATTATCTTTCGTAAAAGTAATTTAAGAAATTATATTTTGGTTTAATATGTTGAGTTTAATTCTAAAAATAATAGTATTTTTTTAATTAAATGCAACTTATTAGGGATGGCAATGATAATCAGTGGTCTTTGTGCATTTCTTTGGGCAAAAAGAAAGGAAACTCTATGGTAAAGGAATATATGCGAGGAAGAGGGATCAGTTTCTGTATTATTAGTTTCAGAAAAAAATATTAATTGAACGATTATTTAGAGTTATCTTTAGTTTAACTTATTTTTTTTAAAAAAATTAGCTTATTTATTTAATTTTATTTATATTTTACTATGAAATAATATTATCTAAAAAAAAAATTGAAATTTTTGTGTTTTTAAAATAAATATTTATTTTTTTAAAAATAAAAAACTAAAACAATGTAGACAAATACATGGATATTTTTTCACAATTTTACAACTCATAAAATAGAAAAAATAAACATTTTCAATATGATTATGCCAATAATTATGAATATTGAGTGGCATGTCAATAAATCTAAAAAATTCTTACGTTAAACTTCAACGGGATCATTTCTTTTCCATTTGAATCTCTGTTTACAACCACACTATATATGTTTTGTGTTGTCAGATCTACCCTCATCATATAACTTCTGTGTCATCAGTGTTACCATACAAATGTATGAGCTATAAATGTATTTGTTAATCTCATCTTGGATACACTTATTGCATGCTAAGGCTTGTAGTTTAGCATAGCCAAAAATCCATAGTGCACTCTATATTTTGTCATCTCATGACCAATCAAATGACTTTAAGCCTTCCTAATTGTCTATACTATTTGATAGATTTCATATAAGTTTATGGTTGACCTTGATTTATGAGTTAATACATTGTAAGATTACCTTAGCTACTTCTATATTATTTGAAAATTTGAACCCTAGACAACATAAAGTGGCCCATCAATCCAATTCTATCATTGAGTTCACTAGGGCTAAAGCCTAGTTCGGCTCAATCCTGCCATACTTCAGTTCAAGTATCGAAGCATCTTATACATCTATTGTCGATAACTCCATATTATTTGGAAAATTTACATACCAATAAATCCCTATGTATTTATATATCTAGCACCTAAAACTTTAAATTTTACATACAAGATAAATTATTTTTAGAAATTGGATGAAATGCATGTAATTGCTCGTATATTTTTAGCTCATAGTGAAATTGTCGATAGCTCACACAAGATCTATACTAAGTTAAAATTGAGTTTGTGGTCAAATCTTAACTTGTACTAGATCGTATGTTATCCTTCTTCTATGAGCTAGCTAATTAAACTTTATGTAACAATTCCATGAATTTTGGATCATTAAGGGACCATCATTAACTCACTTGGTTAAGCATGAACAACAATCTACCGACCTAATTATATGATGATTCAAATTTAAGTGACTCATATAAGACCAATAACAATCAATTTCGATGACCTAGCATGATCAAGCTTAACCAACTACTCTTAATTGATTCTTTATCCCTACAAACTAACCAAGTCAAACATAAGTCAACACTCATATTCTAAAATAAATCAAACCAAGTTTAACCTAAAAATTAAGCTAACCTAAGTTACTCAATCCAAACTTTCCTCGACTCTCTGGTTGAAATCTACAGTCAATTCTATGTCTCCTGTGGTCGAGGGTTCAAACCTGCCTATGTAGGTATAAGTCAAGTGTTTGGGCACATGAGATTGGTTTGGGGCTCGAATCATAGTCTCCCACCAATTTTTAATAAATAAAAGAAAGAAAGAAAAAAAATACACACACACACACACACACACACACAT